ACCTTGATGCACGTCTTTTTTTTTTTTTTCGTATCAAGTTCGAAATGGCCGACTGGCGGCCATTTTGTTAAAGAATTCAGTTCTGGATCCGTATACAAGACATGTCTGAATTGATCAAGTTCAAACTTCACACACACATGGTACATCATGTCACAAATAGATATGTGCATTTGTTTCATGATCTGCTTAACAATAGTGGAATGATGGCCATTTTAAGGCCGAAAATGCATCAAAATCACGTATTTTCACAATTCCAGAACTGGATCTCAGTCATGCATGGATGGATTTTGTTCAGATTTAGCACAATGTGTTGTACATACCGGTATGCAGGTGCATTTCGGTCATGATCTGCTTTGAATGTATATGTCACTCAAATATGAACGGAACGGGGACGTGTCATTGACAATGACTTGTTGACCTTTCAACTTCCTACATCCTGACATTATTAACCTTTCAGCTTCCTACATCCTGGCATTATTCAACTTCCTACATCCTGGCATTATTGACATTTCTACTTCTCACATCCTGGCATTATTAACATTTCTACTTCTCACATCCTGGCATTATTGACCTTTCAACTTCCCACATCCTGGCATTATTGACCTTTCAACTTCCCACATCCTGGCATTATTGACCTTTCAACTTCCCACATCCTGGCATTATTCACCTTTCAACTTCCCACATCCTGGCATTATTCACCTTTCAGCTTCCTACACCCTGGCATTATTCAACTTCTCACATTCTGGCATTATTGACATTTCTACTTCTCACATCCCGGCATTATTGACCTTTCAACTTCCCTCATCCTGGCATTATGCACTTTTATACTTTAGAACTTCTGGTGGTTTTGATGACTTTGATCTAGAAAGTTTGAACAATTGTTAATTAAACTTAAGCTTATTTTTATTGATAATTACAATATACATTAATGCAAAGGTTAAAAGACATTAGTTTTTACATTTAGGTAAAATAAAAAAATTCAACAAAAGTGCCTGCATGGTTGTTTATTCTATATTTTGCTATCAACCAATAAAAACCAATTGTGTCCATTATTAGGTGCTACTCCAGAATACTTAGCCGGCCATTACATGATGCAAGGTGCATCCAGTTTCCTTCCAGTTATGGCGCTAGCACCACAGGAAAATGAAAGGATATTGGATATGTGTGCTGCTCCAGGAGGAAAAACATCATACATTGGTAAGACAAAATAGTTCCATTCATCAGTGTTCTCCACAATGGGTCTTAGGTGGGCATCAAGTTTTACGGCCGCCTAGTTACTCTCAACACCCGCCCATCAACGTACATCCAGCTGAAATTATTTGTAAAAAGCTTACATTGTTCTTCCCAAGCCTAAACAAAAGAGAAGTTGCCCATCCCTTTATTTTGCTATTTCTTCAAGAGTCCAGACATAAACAATGACCACTGGAAGTCTGCAAGCAGTTATCAAGTGTATTCGTGGCAATGTGTCAATCGCCTGAATTCATTGTTGCCCGACATTGTTGCCACTTATTGCTCACAATACGCAACTACAGTGATTTAAATTTACAGCTGTATTTTTAATAATTGCCTTCCGATCACGAAAGAAAGAAGTAAATACAAACGAAAGGTATATGCACAAAAAATATATTAGCAGATTGCATGTAAACTCGAAAAAAAATTCTAGCCGTATTTACAACGTTCACTCGATTTTCATCGTGAAAACAGCATGGAGAAGGCAAACTGATGACCTTTTTGCCTACCCCATTCATCTGCCATCGGCCACCCACCGCTGTTGGCGCTGTATTGATTTAGTATCTAAGTTTCATAGAGGAACAGCGCATTCTGGGTGTTCGTGTACTGAATTCAGAAATCAGTAAAAAACATCAAACATGGCTGCCGGATTAGTTTACCGCGAGTATTTGTAATTGAATACATATTTTAGTTATCTTTTCCCACGTACTTATTTCAATTTATCTATTTTTTATGTTGAATATTTTGAGAAGATAGCAGATTCCTTTTTTTCTTCCAAAACAACGTGTGAAAACGCAACGTGTCCGTGATCGTACATGCGTAATTGTATGTGGAATTTTTTTATCAAAAACTAGAAGTGATATCACATTTAGACTGTTTAGTTGAAAATTAAGATTGAATTCAGTGAAAATTACAGAAAATGTAAAGAAAAAAAATGTTGGTTAACTTATTTGGATGCCGTATTTTTTCCATGTCAAATTTTTGTTGCAATATTTTATGTATTTCACTAAATATATTTCAATTTCTGTAGCCTACCGGTGGTGATCACTATTTTAGGTAACAAAAGATTAAATGTTAAATCGTTTTAGTACTCTGGTTGCCATGGAAATGTAAACTAAGTGCACTTCGATATATCTGACACACGCTTCGAAAGTGAGAACTGAAATTTTACATATTTGGAGCTTCATTTCTCTGTTTATTTTTTTAACCGTAGCTTCCCTGATGAAAAATACTGGTATGTTATTTGCAAATGATGCAAACAAGGAGAGGGTGAAAAGCATTGTGGGAAATATTCACAGAATGGGTATCACGAATACAGTGATATGTAATGAAGATGGTAGATCATTTCCCAAGGTAAGAGAGGATTGTGGGATACATGTATGTACTACTCGTGGGTAGGTTATGTCTGTGGTAACACAGAATGATGGGAAATGTCATTTCTTGAGTTACAAGAACAAGGTGATGCAGAGTGTCATTATCGTTTTGATGACATCAGTAAAAAAAAATTCACTTCTACAAAGTTTTTTTTTTTTTTTAAATAGTTTTTTGTGCCAGGCGACAGTTCCGGACATTGGATATCACTGTTGTCTTTCCTGATTTTTTTTTGTATGTGCAAAGTTTAGTGATTTTTTTCTGCAGTTTTTAAAATTTAAGCATTTTTTCATGTTACTCCTTAAATCCAGTTGTGATCAACACATCGTAAGAAACCATTCGTGGAAAACGCATGCTAAAACTGAATCCAATGAATTTATTTTATGTTTATTTCCAAATTTAGGTCATTGGTAATTTTGATCGTGTGTTACTAGATGCCCCTTGTACAGGTACTGGTGTTATATCAAAAGACCCCTCTGTCAAAACAAACAAGGTAAGAAAATAGAAATTACAGTGTTTAGAAGAATAGCAGTGTATATGCTTCAACCTTTAGTTGCATAATTTAAATCCTTTTTAACCTTATAGCCACCAGACTTTCTCGCTCAAATTTTTCTGCACTTTTTTCTTATATCCTTCAATACTGTAAAACATGTCTTTTTTTGTGAGCATGTCTTTTTAGCGATTTTAGCAAGAGAACTAATTTGCTAATTAAAGATGTCTCTAATGACTTCATTATAAATTCAAAATGGCGGCCAAATAACGTCTTTCTCTCAAGACACACACTTTGTAAACAACACAGAAAATGTAATAATCTGGAGCGCTTCCTTATCACACTTGACAGTTTTTCTTTGTTTTTATGGAGGTGATAACTGAGCATTTGTATTGTGAAAACAGGAAATCAACAAAAACAAAAGATTTGCTAAATCAACATTTCGCTATTACGTCATTTTACCACAATTCGATAAAATAGTATGTTTTACAGTATTTCTGAAAATGAACCCTAATTTTGGAGACAGTGGACAAAATTTGAGTCAATTTCCAGTTATTACTCAAAAAATTTGGCTATTTTTGTCCCAATCTTCTGAAGGAAAGCACATAATATAAATTTTGTCTATTTTGTGAATTTGTGATGAAAAGAGGATACTGGTGGTGAAAAGGTTAAAAGAATAACAGTATATATGACTCAAATCTTTTGCTCAAACTTTTGATGACATAAACTGTATCGCTCGATAAAAGCCCACAAAGATAGCCAAAATAAATGGGAGTTGTGTGAAATTGAATTGCAATGTGTGCTTGCAAAATTAAATTGATGTGAGAAGCGGAGACATTCAGTCTTTTGGATAATTCATATTGAAAGTCAATAAGAAAATGTCAAGGATTTATAAGACAAGGGTTGTGAAAGTTGTGTGATACTGTAAAATACTTTATTTCTGCTTAGAATTCGTTTTTGCTATTTTCGCTGAAGGGATAATTCAGTAAAAATAAAATCCAGCAAATATACATTTTCGCCTATATTTTACATTCAACTCGTCAAAAATCAGTGAAAATGAATTCCATACAAAACACCCAAAAAGCCTTTTCAGCGAAAATTTATTCCAGCTAAATATATTTTACAGTATCTCGCATGAATCAACTTTCAAGGAGGTTAACCATGATGTTTTTTTTGTTTCCTAGGATATGTTAGATGTACAGAGAATTGTCACAATACAAAAAGAACTATTATTATCAGCAATAGATTCTGTAGATGCCAAATCAAAAACTGGTGGATATATTGTGTATTCGACATGTTCTATTTTGGTAGGTTATGTTTTCTAGTGATGTTCACAATATTTATTCACAGTGTTTATTTCACTGTTCATGATGTTTATTTAAGTGTTCACAATGTTTAGATGTTTATTACAGTGTTCCTAATTTTTATTCCAGTGTTCAAAAAGTATTTCAGTTTGGAAAATGTGTATTACTGTGTCATAATATTAATGTTCATGTGTGTGTCAATAGTGAACATAATAAAGTTTCTTTCACTGATTTCATTGCAAGGTGGACGAGAATGAATGGGTGATAGACTATGCACTGAAAAAGAGGAATGTGAAATTAGTTTCAGCGGGATTAGACTTTGGTAGACCTGGATTTAAACGGTAAGTCACTCTCTGTGCCAATAATGATATTAAAATGTTCTGCTCTTTGATTTTTCATGTACTATTTAGAAATGTACCAGTTTGGTAAAGGGGAAAAAAACAGCTTAGACTCATTGCTAATGTGCATGCATTCATATGGATTTTTTGGGGTGATACATATACTCTGTCTGGCGGTATTTTACGGGGTATTTTCATCTAACCATACTAGGAAATGTGAATTCCAAATATGGAATGAATTATGTGCGTAAGCATTGTCCAATGATAAAAACTAACATGGCTGCCACCTGGGTTTGATCGGACACAAAGAAGTTCACTGATTAGTCCCCGTTCACTGAGGTAGTCCGAAAACGAGGACTTATGGTTTGCCCTGTGTGCGTCCGTGCATCCGTGATCACCTATATCTCGAACATGCATGGACCGAATAAGTTCAAACTTCACTCATACATCACACATTATATGGGACATATGCACATGCATTTTTTTCATGATCCGATTAACGATCCGAAAATGCATCAAAATTGCACATTTTCACCATTTCGAACCCAAATCTCAGTTATGCATGGACGGATTTTGTTCAAATTTGGTACATACATTAAACATAATAGGACCTTGATGCACGTAATTTTTTTTTTTTTGGATCGGGTTTGAAATGGCCGACTGGCGGCCATTTTGTTTTAAAGAATTCAGTTCTGGATCCGTATCCGAGACATGTCTGGATTGATCAAGTTCAAACTTCACACACACATGGTACATCATGTCACAAATAGATATGTGCATTTGTTTCATGATCCACTTAACAATAGCTGAATGATGGCCATTTTAAGGCCGAAAATGCATAAAAATCACATATTTTCACAATTCCGGAACCGGATCTCAGTCATGCATAGATGGATTTTGTTCAGATTTAGTACAATGTGTTGTACATATGCAGGTGCATTTCGGATCAGACCACTGAAAGTGGTCTGAGATTTCGGTCATGATCTGCTTTGAATGTGTATGTCACTCAAATATGAACGAAACGGGGACGTGTCATTGACAATGACTTGTTCTCCTCTAAACTACATTGTATTTGGATTTCGGCATTCCCATGATGTATCCTTGGAAGGAAAAGATGCTGCGCATCAGTTGATACTCAAGCTGTACTGTTTTTGTGTATACTTTGCAGTATCCTTGTAATAACCAAATATACTTGTTTCTACTGCGTTCACCGCGATCTTGCATAATGCAAGAAAGGTCAGCTGATGTCAAATGCTAAACCTCTATACTATGATCACTGTTTCATGTTTCAGATTCCGTGAAAGAAGATTTCATCCAACGCTGGAAAAAACAAGAAGATTCTACCCACATACTCACAATATGGATGGTTTTTTTGTTGCTAAGTTGAAAAAGATGGATAACGAATTGCCAAAGTCAAAAGGTTTGTGGAAGTGATATTATCAAAAAGGTTATCACAGTCATCATTAAAGTGATTGGTTATCAGTTTGCTTCTCAGTTTGTTTAAAGCATAGTTGATTTATCATACATGGTCACAGAACTACTTGTCCTTTGTTTTAAATTTCAATAACACAATAAAGGTTTATATATTACCAGATTCTGTCGTAATCCCGATTTCACGGCTGGTGGGCCCTTATTTGGGGCTCAAAATGTCAAAAAACAGATCATCAAATATTTTTGAAAAATATACTATGCCGACTTTCAACACTGACAGTTGGACCATCCAAGACAAAAGAAAATATTGCCGAAGCTAATCTTTCTTGCTGAATTAAAATGTAGACCGCCTAAAATTTCATTACAATGTCACCCAGTGTCATCTTTCTCCCCCCCCCCCCCAAAAAAAAAATCACATTAACGAACCTGGTACGCAAAATTATTTTTTTGTGTTTAATTTATTAGTATCATGCAAATAATTTTCAACTTAATTTCATCGTAAGTGAATGGTTCCGGCCGCATATTAAAAGCTTGATGCAGGAGAATACCGCCATGTTTTGACCTGGGATGGTCTTCTTTGACCTGATAGGTCAAATCACTAATTAACCAATCAAAATAATGGATGAAGCCAATGTGTTCAAATCACCATAGCTCATTTAAATATGTTAATGTTATTTAATGGAACATGGAAGAGATTAGTTGATGTAGTACGGTCTTTTGGCTTGGATTTTGATGGGGAAACTGCATGATTTTTTTAAAATCAAAAAATTAGTTGTTTTCAAATAATAATTGGAGCATTTGAAGAATTTAACATTATCTACAGTGATAACAGCTCATTGTCAAACGAAGCTTACCCATTCATGCTAGTCAAAATAAACATACTTTTAGGCATCAATGACTACAGTAAAACTTAAATTAGGCTCTATTTTAGGCGTCATTTTATTATTTTTTTAAATTCAAACTGTCGTTTAACTGCCCAGGGTGAATTTACGGCTGAACGCGGTAATTATTTTTAGCGTAATAAAAATTCAATTAGATGGTATTATTATGCAAATGTTCTTCTATGCTTGAGTGTTTACATATATAGTAAGTCTAAGTAATCATCTGTTTTCTCCTGTAACATTTCTGCAATGTTGAATCAGACCAAAAACATAAATCTTTTAGTGAAATCATCACTTGTAAAATTGTTGAAGAACATAATGAACACTATGCTCAATTCAGCCATTGATGACGCTGTTCTGAGATACAGAATAAAGCGATCTGGTGAAAATATTCATGCAGGAGTTGAGTCCCAAGCGACGATAACAACACACGCTAAAAACACTATATATTTATAAAAATCTATAAATTTTTCAGTTTTGCAATTACTGATGTTAATGCTCTTTATTTGTTTGAATTATATTTTTCAGATAAAACTCAACAAGAGACAGAAGAAACAGAAGAAAAAGACGAAAAAGTGAAAAAACAAAAGAATAACAAGAAACCCAAGAAAAACAAATGAATTTGTTCATAATCAGCAAATTAGAAACAATCAATTATAACCAAATATAATTTACTTTCTGAAAGCTTTTATGTAAAATATACTGCCATCCATGGCAGCAAATAGAATTTGATCTCTTCCTGTTGTGTACTCGTGGAGAGAGAATAAAAAAATGTTATTTTAACATCTCCGTGAAAAAATATTGTTTAATTTTTATTTAACCTGTATGTATGGACCTAATTAATGTGTGAGGTAATAGTTATTGTGACTTCAGCTATTTGCTGTTCACTTGGTATTAAACAAACAAAATTATGTTTTGACTATTCTGTTTGAGAGAACAATGCCGGATGGTAGTATTTGTTCAATAAGTTGACCATCTTCCTGGCAAATGAAAACATTCACACTTTTTTTATGGCAACAAGTAGCAGATTTCCACCATGTCTAATTTGGTAGATTAGCCCAGTCGTGATAATTTAATATTATATGATAATTATAGGATAGAAAGAGTCTGTAGAACCTCTCGCTTGGACACAAAATTATCACGACTGGTCTGTTCTGCTACGCCCTCTGTAGTTGTCATCACAATTTTGTCGTAATAAATATGCTAATGAGTGAAAGTGTCAACCAATACGAAAAGCAGCTTTTGGTCCCGTCTGTTCTACTCGTCTGTGGCCCGGCACGTAGAATCTTTTGTGCAAGTGCATGCCCACGGATAGCTGCATTTAGTGTTCATTTCTGTGCAATGTAAAATCATATTGCTGCTGTGGACGGCGACGACCGTCAAATTGTTTCGGTTCTGCTGCTCTCTCTGCAAGGACAACTGACTATTAGCTGTATTTTACTATTCTGTTCTTGGTCGCATTTTGCTTACCGTATATCATTAAGACACTGACTAGTACTAGTACTAGTAAACGAAACTCAGAATTAAAGGGGACTCTGAATCGCCAGTTGTGAACTTCGAAATCTCATTTATTGGGATTTCCGCATGAAGTTACACGGGAAAAATGCATCATTACGGCAAGGAAAAATATTGATTTCTTTGTACAGGTTGTACAATAAATTCTCTAATTAATATTTCATTTTTGTTTAGTGTGCCTGTATGTATTAAAATTGTATGTACACATTTTGTCTAATTGGTGGTGGGAATTGGGAAGCCAGTTTATAAAATCATGAACATATATTTTTGTAAATAAGACAGAATACACCCTTTAAGAAAGAAGTTCACTGATGGAATATTTTATTTTGAAACTTCTTTCAATTTTAATTAGTTGTATGCAATAAATCAGTAATAATTAAAATATATATACATTCCCTTATTTCATTGCTGAGACTGAGTTTTACATTTGTTTCATACTATAATTTCTTATCTACTGAGTATATTAATATATATGGGGATTATTAATTTCAATAAACAACATTCAACTATCCTTCTGCGACACCAATAAGATCATCACTTATAGTATGTCACTAAGCAGTATAACAAGAATGCATGATGCAAAGCCCATTCTATAAATGGTCAAATGTTTCTTGGTCTAAAAAATTAGGGGCATTATCAGAGGATTCATCTTATTTAGGAAATCCTGGCAAAGCAACTGCACAAATCATAGGGGCAAATTAACAGCTTCTAAGGATGGTATTCCCAGATTAACACCAGTTGTTAAAGACACACTCAGACAACTAACAAATATTAATATTAGTTTGAGAGACGCATACAATTTTAATTCTTAACAAAAACAAAACGACCAGTTACTGCGACAAAGCCCTACTCCCTGTGAAAGCTACCAGCAACAAAATCCACTCACCGCATAAGCCACTCACTGTGTAGCAACTCGTACAAATAAAATAAAATAGCAGCACTAAACCATTTTTCAATTTTCCCTCCGATGAGAATCAAAACCTCTTTTGTAGTACCCCCCCCCCCTTACGAAAAGTCCATCCATTGTGTAAGACTGAGTATGAGCTGGCGAACACTTGTTTTTCTGGTCAGAATTCTATTACATACATGTGGTTTCAACAAATTAAAATAATATTTTGATCTTTGTAACCTGTTGTTTTTTGGGGGGGGGGGGGATTCACCCATACGCTAACATTAAAGCGCGGTGGTCGTCGCGCAGCGCGTGTTCGAATTTCATGTAAATAAACAATGTATTTTACACGCGTTGTATATGTCGCTATGAGTCCCATATCGAGTAGGTCGCGGCACGACGACTCCCGCCCTATAATATTGTCGTCTAAGGAGTACTAAATTAGTGGTACGAGTCCCCGAAACTGTTTCAGCTATAGCGCCCTCAATGTTCTGTTGCTACAAATCGGAGGTCCGTGAAACACCGCGAGATTTTGATGATATCGGCGCCATCTTCAAAAAAGATCACCTCGGCCGAATCAGTTGTTTTCGGCAATTTTGAAACAAACTTTACAAAGGACACAATGCGCTACGTAAATTATACATTCGTGTAAGGAACACTACAATTTACGCCGTGATTTGAGAAGAACTCGATAATAACAACGGTACGTCATGTTTCTGTGAGTCAATTAATGGGTGTTTCGTCTTTTGATCTTAGGAAGTTCACACCATGTCCATTTCATAACAATGAAAAATTTAAATCATTTTTGTCGCATCCTCGATCGGACCTTTATTGTTATTGATTGCAACAACATCGCTATATTCTGTTGAAAACTGATCCTCTCTGGTCAAAATGACAAGGCGATCTTCAATTATGCGTCAGTTCAAAAACAAATACTAGTAAAAAAAACATAGTTGTGTATTGTTGTGTACAAATAGTTCTGTACACAGATGACTTTGCTTTGTTCGAGCATGTACCTACTACACTGTCTGTACATGTATATAGTAAGTTTATTATTCAAAAAAACGAAAAACAATTAAAAATTATTTACAATATTATTTAATATTTAAAATTGATAATAATTCATAATCTAAAAAGGCAAATAAAAAGATAAATGTACGGTGATTTATTATAATACACAATGATATGATCCACCGTCCCTCAACACAGGATGGTGTATGATCGTACCTCGTTTATTTACTTGTTTATTCAGAATAAATATGGTTCAAAGAAAATATATACTAGTACGTAGTAAAGGTTTTTCAGGAAGTAAAATTCACAGTAATTATTTTCATGGACAGTGTTTTAAACTATATAGTAGTATTTTTTGAAAGCTCATACATTGATTCACACATTCTGTTTATACCTCCATGTTTCACACTAATTAAAAATCAATGTTATGTCAGGTAAAACTTTCATTGAAGATTCAAATGAGTACTGTGAAAAAATTTAAAGGAATATCACAGTTTTATTTCTTGAAAATGCAGAATGACATTTATCACAGTGATATTGCATAACTTTTTTTTTAATGCATACATGCATTTTCACCATAATATGTTGTGTGTATTCACATTCAGATAAATGGTTAATCAAATGAGTACTACCGTACTCAGCAGGCTCTCATCAGATTTCTGCACTTTTTTAGAAATTGTGGATGTGGTCCAGGTGTATATGAACAATTTCTGATCATCATTTTTGTTTAATTTACACATTCAAAAGTGGTTGGTGAATTAGTGAGCATGTTAGCTAACTTGCTTCTCCAGTATACTAATTAATAAACTCTATACTGTAAAAGAATTAATTATTCACCAGGTTTTAATTTTGCTTATTTCACTGACTGGAAAATGCGCTAGATTAAAACCCAGTGAATGTGTAAAATTTAGTATATTATTATCTATTAAAATGATAAAACTGTGAATTTAAAATCCACCGAATATGCCTGAAATGGTAAATCAGAGAAATTTAAACCCAGTGAAAATTACCATAATCATTTTACAGTAGTTTGCATCATTTTGTACACAATATTTCCAAATTGAATTGAGACAAACATAACTCTTATTGTGGTTATCACGCACTGGGATGAAATCTTGCAGAAATTAATTTAATTCTTATTCTAGGAGGGAATGAATGATGTTACAAGCCAGCTGTACCATCTGCTCTGACTTATTTGAAGTTGAAAGTAATGTATCCGCTACACACTGTGGACACGTCTTCCATGAGCATTGGTGAGTGTAACCATCTTAGGAACTTTTGACAAAATATTTTCACTCATGTACATGTATGATGAGAGCTGTAAACATTATGTACAACTCTAGTTGGTTAAAACATTGAGCTAAACAAATTTACCAACAATACCATTTTATTCAACCTTTTCACCACCAGACTTTCTCACCCTAATGCATTTTTTTTCTTATATTCTTCAATATTTCTGGAAATGAGCCCCAATTTTCAATTTTTTACTAAAAAAATGTGACTGTTTTTGATCCAATCATTTAAAGGAAAGAGCAGACTATAAAAGGGACTATTTCATGAATGTGAAAAGAGGGAACTGGTGGTGAAAAGGTTAACCAACTAGAAAAACATGTATATAATAAAAATACAAATAACAAAAAATTTTTTTTTTACCCTTTGAGTGCTATTGTCAACTTCTGGCATCATCTACAACATTATTTGTATGGTTCTTCCTACATGAAATGTCGATAAAAATTGATAAACCTTTTGATCAAACACTAAAACCATTATCTAAAACTGTCTGTATGGTCTAAAATTGCTTCTGAATCAGATTTTGTTGCATTTTGGGGATACTGTAGTCTGTATTTGCTCTATTAGAAGCCCATCTCCAGCACATAAACCATAGACAATATAGTAGGACTGTCTATGCATAAACCAACCATTGCATTAATTGTATGCTGCATCATTACATTATGACTTATTTTGACCAAAAAGTACATGTCATATGAATAGAGAACATCTAGTTAAGCGTGTGTTTACCAAGTGACTTAAAAGATTGTACCTGATTGGCTACACAACCTTAATATCTAACAGTCAAGCCAATCAAAAAGCAGCTTATTAGTTGACAGGTTCTTTCCACAAAATGAATTCAATCATGTCTTCACTAAAAAAACTAAATACTTCAACTCAACTGCAAAGCTATACTGCAAACAGTTGTTTAGGATGGTTTTTTACAACAAACATCAGCTGTGATTGTTCTGGAGATCAACCATATTTATGTTCAGTTTACAGAGATGGCTTAACCAATCCAAGACTTGTCCGCAATGTCGAGCTGATTGCTTTGCCCGGAATGTCGTCAAGCGCTTGTACTTCAATCAGAGCGAGGAGGAGGCTGTCACAGAGTTAGATGCCTCATCACTCAAGGTAATAATCAGTTTGCATTCAATGTCTGTAATCGTTCATGTCGGTCATATTATTGTAAAACACTTTTAAATGGCCACAATGTACATGCCATTTCAGCGAATTTTCCTCAATGCATAAATTACCAAAATCTTAATTTAGCTAAATTTCTAATGATCTAATTGTGAGTGAATTGCTGTACTTCGTTGATCATTAGCCCAGGAGCCTGAACATGTAAAATCAGGAAAGTAAGGGGTGGGCTTATATTCGAGGATCACCTCAGAAAAGATGATTTAGGGGAGGGGGTTAACTTTGTAACAATATTACCACCCATGACAAATTATGTCTTTCGTTCACCAAGCCTGTTTCGGGGAAATCAAACAAAAACTTAGATGCATAGCAATTCTCGCCTGATTCGAACTGAAAGAACGTCCTTTGATCTAACAGGTTAGGTTTTTCATTAACCAATGAAAATGCTGTGTCATTGTGATTAAATTTCCCGATTATTGACGATGTAATTTTTTTAACGCAATGCGGAAGTGAATTACCTCGATATTAAAATGTGATCTGTAGCACTGATTTTGACAGAAAAATTGTTAATTTTTTTTTTTCTAAAAACTGGTAATTCGCAGTTTTAGAAAAATAAACTTGAGTGTGGAGGAAGTATTTAAACACCTTTCACGGTTGCCAACAGGTCACGTCAAGGAATAGTTTACTTGTTCACACCCCATTCACGATAGTCTTAATGGACACGATTAAATAAAACGATGTCCAATGACCAGGTTTACTACTCAAAGAAATACTAGTATGAATCAGGGTTCATTCTGAGTAAATAACAAAATAGAAAACGTGCGAACCGTGTTGTTTACGTTTGCTATGCACTCTGAAATTAATGCAAGTTTTCTCACAAAAGCATGAACCAAACAATGAAATACACTTTTTACACCCATCTTTTAATAGTTGTGTTCACGTTACACAAAGTACGGGCTAAGATTTAAGCTGATTTAGGCTTATCTAGCATATTTGCATTTCGGCTAGACCCAATTGCGTCCACGCACAGGGAGGGCCAGTCGTTAGCACGGGCTAAGGTGCAAACCGCTATTTACGAACGAAAAATGGATGACACGCGCAAGGTTCTATTTCTGCTGCTGACATGTTTCGTTCTAATTTTGAAGTGACGTGCACAGGAACGCGAAAGAAGACGGACCCAACTTATTTGGATGCAAAGAAACAGTATACAACGGCGTAACAGAATACAGAGTTTTATTAATGCATGTCGTAGACAGCGTACCAAATTTATTTTGTCTACGATTGGTGCTGCTGTACGCTCTACTACAGCGACCCGATCAGTGTGGAAGCGTGTACACTGAGCTCGGTTACCATTCTGGGAATGAGAAAGTTGGATATATTTGATCACGTGCATAATGTTCACACCCGAAGGTCGCCGCAGAGGGCGCTTAGCCCTGGGCTAAGCGTTCGCACACACATCGTTAGCCCATGCTAAGGGTCTAGACCACGTCTTAAATTCGGATCAGATTTAACCCGTACTTAGCATTCCTTAGCCCGTGCTAAGCGTTCACGCACAATTGCAACGAACACAACTAATGAATGTTTTTGAAGCCCGGTAAAAACACCCTGGACTTATAATCGGGGATGCCCTCAATTTGCTAAATCTCTAAAAATAGAAGGGTGGGCTTATACTCAGGCAGGGGCTTATAATCGGGGAAGTATGGTAGTGCAATTACAGTTTAGCTAAATTAGCTAAAATAACATGCTAGCTAAAAGGCATTTCTTACAGTAGATACTGTCAACAGTTTAGTTTGTGCTAGAAAGTTTTTTGTGATTCCATAATTTGAAGCCTTTCTCAAGAAAAACATTTTGCTGAAGTCACTGTGACTCTCTGGAGCCCAGTTAAATATTCACTACAACTAATCCTATCTCATGAAATCTAGTAAATGTTCACTATGACTCACCTCATCAGGAACCTCAATGATTGTTCGCTACAATTTCCAGTCTTTATAGACCCCGGTGAAACTACTGGTAACACGCAGTAGATATCCAAATAGATAAATTATAATATTTATTATTTGTTCATAGAATGAATTAGACAGAACCAAGGCTTTACTTAGCCAGAGAAACAGAGAGAAGTCTGCTTTCAAGAAGACCAAAGATGCACTGAGTGAAGAAATTACTAAATTAACATCGCAGATTGGTGACTTGATAGACAGAGTAAATAAAGAAGAAATAACTAATAGTGCTTTGAAGGTACATGTATATTATGAATATTTAAGTTGGAAGAAAAATACAACATATACCATTTTTAAGGTTTTGTTGACAGTTGTGCAGTGGTGTATTTCATGTGTGCACACTCTGAATCATAAAGGATTTATATGATACTATCCAGTGTTCTCCCCAGGCTCAGAGGCAAGCATGGCGGTCTAATTTGCATGCTAATTTGCATACTAATTTGCATATTTTTCAGGATTCACTCTCACAAAAACAAACATACAAGACAGTATTAAAATGTATGAGAGACTTTATTTTAATTACATAATACTTTACATAATATACCATAATTTGACAAGATCGTCATTTAATGTGAACTGTTCCATAAAACTTAGTCTAAACTATTCCTTCTGACTTTGTTGTGCTCCAAACATTGGCTGCCTTACTGTA